CCGTAGCATTTCCTCACAGCAAACATGTTGGTAGGAAGCTCAATGCTATCCTGCTAGCTGGCTGCAAACTGCGGAATGGATTTCCTGAGCGGGGGTGTGTCTCATTGAGCCCTATTTTTTACAGTCTATGATTGAGCTGCACCTCCGTTCAGGATATCCATTCCACAGTTTGCAGCCAGCTAGCAGACTAGCAGGCCCGGCGGGAATCACTTTTGTAGTCATTTCAGCAACAACGTTAAAGCGCAGACATGGCTCATAAATATCGGATTTCTCCGCAGGTTGGATCGGAAAAATCCGATACATGAATTACGCTGGTATCGGTCCCGATACCGATACTGGATCGGATCGGCCCCATCCCTATTTGTAATAGAAATATTTTTGCTCTAAAATATTTAATTGGACAGCTATTGTAAGTCATGCCCACTTTCTGAGCAAATCATTCTTTTAAATTGCTTTTTTTTTAGTGATTCAGTCAAAAGGGCTTGCATCTTTTTAAAATCTGAATTAAAAAAAAAATAATAAATATATATATATATATATATATATATATATATATATATATATATATATATATATATACATATTAAATATATATAATATAATATATATATATATATATATATACAGTATATATATATATTTAATATATATATATATATATATATATATATACATTTTTTTTTTTAATTCAGATTTTAAAAAGATGTAAGCTGATTTTTATTCCTCTTTTTAGGCAACTTTAGCATGGGTGCCAACACTTATTCACACCACTGTGTATATATATATATATATATATATATATATATATATATATATATATATATATTAAATATATATAATATATATATATATATTTTTTTTTTTTTTTTTTTTATTCAGATTTTAAAAAGATGTAAGCCCTTTTGACTGAATCACTAAAAAAAGCAATTTAAAAGAATGATTTGCTCAGAAAGTGGGCATGACTTACAATAGCTGTCCAATTAAATATTTTAGAGCAAAAATATTTCTATTACAAATATGATGTACCATGATCCTGGATCCATGAAATAAATGGCTTTTAAAAATAAAAATCTGCCTGACTCTATGGGAATTTAACATAGGGGTGCCGTGACTTATGCACTCTGTATTTTAAGGGAAAACATTTATTTATTTATGATACATTATTCATTCACAAAGAAAATTGGTGTCCTTAAAGGTTGGAGTTTTCCTCATTTTTCTAATTAAGGCATTAAGATCAATATCCAAAAGATGATTTTTTATTCCTCTTTTTAGGCAACTTTAGCATGGGTGCCAACACTTATTCACACCACTGTATATATATATATATATATATATATATATATATATATATATATATATATAAATCCATCTAAATCCAGGCCATGGAAAAGTGTGGGACAGACAGAAAGTGTGGGACCCTGGCTGTAGCTAACTTGTTTTTAACTTATTTTTTTGCTTCTGTTTGCTCTAGCTCATTATCTTCACACCTAAATCGCTGCTACGGCACCCAGAGGCCAAGTCAAGCTTTGACGACATGTTACCAGGTGTGTGCTTGAAATCTTGAGAATGCTTTAAATGTCCTAAAAATGCTTTAGCTGGACGTTGTTGTAATGGTCTGTTGTGTTTGATTTTGATCAGGCACACACTTCAGACATCTGATTCCAGAAGAGGGAAGCGCATCACAGAATTCAGCGCAAGTGAAGCATCTCATCTTCTGCACAGGGAAAGTGTATTATGACCTCACCAAAGAGCGAAAGGCTAGAGGCCTGGAGGACTTGGTAGCCATCAGCCGCATTGAGCAGGTACCTTCAGTTCAAAACACTGTCATTTTTATTAATTGAGCTATATTCTGTAATTATTTCCCCATGCTAGTCAGGCTTTCTTTCCTAAACATTTATACACCACATTATAATTGAATCTGAATGTTTCCAGCTCTCTCCATTCCCGTTTGACCTGGTGAAAGCAGAGGCAGAGAAGTACTCGAAGGCTCAGCTGCTGTGGTGCCAGGAAGAGCATAAGAATCAAGGCTACTATGACTATGTCAAGCCACGCATCAGCAGAACCTTGAACAACATCCGTCCTGTTTGGTAACTACTGTTTTTTGATTCATTTGAAGGGGCAAATCTCTCAAGAGCCTGTTCATATTTTACTCCAGAATCAAAAGGGTTTAACCCTCTAGGCGCCACGGTCGAGTTTACTCTACAAGATGCGGCACTGAATAAAATGGCCGATTTTATCAAATTGGCTGTCAAATTTCGTTCATTTTAGCACATTTATTAAAATAGAAAAACTGAAATATCACATGATCCTAAGTATTCAGACCCTTTGCTCAGTATTTAGTAGAAGCACCCTTTTGATGTATTACAGCCATGAGTCTTTTTGGGAAAGATGTAGAGATGCACCGATTACAGTTTTCTAGGCCGATCCAAATTTCCGATTTTTCCTTTGTTTGACCTGCCGATACCGATTTCATTTTTTTAAACCACTTTACAGCACACACAAAAATGTATTTTCTATCTTCTCTTTAATAGAACAGTTTGCATAGAACATTTTGAACAGATAATTGCTATAAAACAGAACTATATAAATTACTTCTGGTGTGGGAAGTGGAATGGGTTATGAAAGAACCATTTTCTTTTAAAAAAAAATTATTTAGCATTTAAATTCAACAGCATTGTATTTAAAATAAACATAGCCTTATTTCTCACACACACACAGGCCTATTGCATTCACTTGTACTACATCAATGACAAGTTATATTTCTCAAACAGTTCAACTCTCATCTGACACTTGTCCAGCCAGGCTAAATAGGACAAGTGGAGCATGTGCAGGGAAACGATTGGGAAATAATAAAAACAAGTTTAAATGGGTACATTTTCTTCATTTTCTTTTCTGACATAGCTTAGCCTACTTCAGTTCTTGTTAAAACACACCAGACATGCACATTTTTGAATGAAATCGCATTTATTTTGTCCATCAAAAGTGTGCTTTCACTTTGAGGGCAGCAATAACTAGACAGGGCACCGAAAACTGCGCTTTACTGCTGCTCACACGCCGCTCCGTGAATGCACTCAATGATTAACATGCTCACGCAACGCTCCTGCTCGACGCTCACGTGCAAGGATGATCAGAAGAAATAGACACCACCTGAGTTATATGAGTGTCACAGCAAAGGGTCTGAATACTTAGGACCATGTGATATTTCAGTTTTTCTTTTTTAATAAATGTGCAAAATTTTCAACAATTCTATGTTTTTCTGTCAATATGGGGTGCTGTGTGTACTGTAATGAGGGAAAAAAACGAACTTAAATGATTTTAGCAAATGGCTGCAAAATAACAAAGAGTGAAACATTTAGGGGGGTCTGAATACTTTCCGTACCCACTGTATACCTGAGGATTCAGTATTGTGCAATATAGCACACAGAAAGGAAGGTGATGGACATTTTGAGGGGACAGAAGTGCTGCATTTTATTATTTAAACCTGACTTTTCATGAAAATTTTATAATCCAAGATTGCTGCCACCATATGACGTCATAATATGCAAATTAAATGGGAAAATGTAATCCCTACATAAACTTTGGGTCATCCTTAATATTTCTTTAATTTACAGAAAGTCTCTATCTTTTATCACTTTTAAGAAAAAGCCTTTTGAAATTAAGATGTCAAAATTAAACATTTTAGGAAAAAAAACTGGTGCCTAAAGGGTTAAATTTGGTAAAAAGGAAATAAAGCCATGCGTTAAGTAATATTGACACTCATAAATATTTTATATTGTAACGGGAAATCTTATTTACATTTGTAAACTATTAATGCATTTTTTTAGAAATTGTTTCTCTTTAAATGCATTTTTTTAATATACAAGTTATTTTTATAAGTTTTACTAAATGTATTGTATTGCAATACAAATCATTTTAATGGTCATACAAATAGGCTTCAGTTTCTTAAGGCATAAAGTATTTTTAATATTTAAATCTCAAATTTAATTTAAATTGTGTTTAGTTTGGGGTGTCCTAAATAAGTCTTCGTGCTATCCACTCATGCAACGTTTATCTGTAGTTGTACCCACTCGCATTGCTTTCTTCTCAGGTATGTCGGCCGAGAGCCTGCAGCTGCCCCTGCCACAGGGAACAAGAAAGCGCATCTCATGGAGCTGGAGCGGTTCTTGGACACCGCCTTCAACCTGGATGCCTTCCAGGGCCAGTCTTAACCACCTCACCCCATCCATTCACTTCCTTTCCATTCCTCCGTCCCTTGTTTTTCAGGAAGCTCACATCCTGCCGATAACGTAAAGAGGGCAAACTGGCAGCTAGGTTTCTCCTGACCAAAGCACAGGTTTGCTTTACTCCGTAGTTGATGACAGGTCCATCAATGCAGATTTTTTTTTGGAAGAATGTAAGCTTTTAGCAACTACATGGTAACAGTTTGCATGCATGTTGATAATGGTTTTAATAGAGCCTTAAAATGACACCGCTTGAGGTTTCCCCTCAATATGAACATTAACTTTTAAATTATGCACAAAAATCACAGAAAAGTGTGAGAAATGCTTGCACTGAGTTGGCATGGACATCTCTCAGAAATGAGAGATGTTAGCATGCGGACATTAAAGGACATGCATGGAACCCTATGCATTTTTAAATTCTTGCGAAAAGAAAAACCTGCAATTAGGAGTTTTAAAATAAAGACGACATATTCTTCATCTTCATACCTCCCATTCTCCCTTCAAGCACTCAGTGCCAAATTATCATGACCTTCAATAGGTGACTTCAATTACTGAAAGCTGAAACAGTCATTTGGTCCTTGTATTTAAAAAACAATAAGCTGAGATTATGCAAGCAAGAAGAAATACTCTACAAGACATGAAATAAAAGGATTTATTTATTTTCTTAGGTTTACTCTAGATTATTATTATAAGGCTTCGTTCAATAAAAGCATCTCAGTTTCTATTTGTCTGCTTGTTTGTACTAAGAACTGTTGCAAGAAAACAATACATTTGATGTGAAAAGTGTTTATTTTACATTAATGAAGATGTCATATGTGCACTTAATCAGATGAAACTATTAATAGAAATAATTGTATATTATATATTTAAGAATAATAATATAAATCCTGAATAACTATAAAGCATTTTAATTAAGCTAAACAATTTGAATGACACACGTGTATCAAAAAAAAAAATACATTACAGTTTTTTTTATAGTATTGTTACTTTATTTTTCTGATCCTTCAGAAATCTGATACTATTCAAAGCAGCTTTACGTTTAATACTGCTGAACCGAAAACTTTCATCTGAAATTAACTTGTATGAATCTCATATTAGTCAGACATATTTACAATAAGCTTTCCTTATGGCCAATCTTCTCTCTGATGAATCTGTACAGGTCTTTAGGCGAGTGATATTCACGATCGTAGTGTCCAGAGTAGTCCGTCAGCAACTTGTACAGTTTATCTGTTGAAAGAAGAAATGATCAAGGTACTCTAAACCCAAACTCAAAAAATACACTAGTTAATTTAGTCATTTTATTGTTACTTTGCATTTGTACAACAGCGCTGAGTGCCCTTTGTTTGTTTAATTTGGCTATTAACTCTTTCCCCACCAGTGTTTTTTTTGTTGTTGTTGTTTTTTTAAGTTTCCACCCACTGAAATATTTTTAATATTTTGTTGTTTGAATATCTGAACATGAATTATATCAAAAGAAAGAACAGATAATCTGCTTTTAAACAAAAGAAAAACTGTTTTATTCTAGCTTCATGCATTATTCAGAATGATAATGAGTAGATACACTGTAAAAAAAATATTGTTGGTTAAAATTAAAGGTGCAATGTGTAAAAAAGTTGAGTATCTATTAACAGAAATGCAATATGACATCCATAACTATGTTTTCAGTGGTGTATAAAGAACTTACTTAATTAACCGTAATGTTTTTATTACCTTAGAATGAGACATTAATAGCTCCATAACCGCGGGAATCCCCTTCTATGAAGGTCGCCATGTTGTGACGTCATATTCCTACCGTAGCCGAACGCGAACAAACAGCGCTACAGAACGCGTTTCATCACTACCTTGAAAGAGAAGTAGCGGAAAGCTGGAAGAGCTAGCCTTACACTCCGTGAGTAGTGACTTTTCCCTTGTGAGTGGTGTAAAATATGTAGTTGGGATTGTTTCATGTAACTTAGTTCTCCCTCGCTGTGTTATGGGTTTGTTATGTTGGGAATAGATGTGCTGTTACGTTCGTGAGACAGCTGATGATTAGTATTCATGTCATTGACCGTAAAACAGTACGTTACAGGAATCACTAACCCGTCGATAGAGACTTTTAGATCACTAAAGTCGATCGCGAAGAGTTTTCAAAATCAGAGAAAAAAGCCTATTGTGTGTAGTAAATAGTATCTATGGGATGCGGAGATGACATGATTGTAACAGCGCGCGCACTTCCGACCTTTGGACTCATGCGATGCGGACGCGTCCCAGCTCAGCCACAGTAACAGCTCATATTAGCCAGCTAAACTATTACTACCCTGTTAGAAAAAATATATAGCTGCTCCCTCGCTGTATTATGGGTTTGCTACAGTATGTGTGGAGAAATGTGCTGCTGGTTACGTTTGTGAGACAATCAGCTGATTATTATTTTATTAAATTATATATTAAAACCCTTGATCCTCACCTGACTATGGCTTTGTAAACAGTATCCATGATGTGGTTTATAATGGACTGTGGTACAGAAACAGTGACAATGTTACACACTCTTGGCTTACTCTGGCTATTCTCTGCTGTCTCAGCCGTCGAGATGTTTGTCCCGTTTTAGCAACCGTAGCTTCTTCGAAAGGGAGGGGTGAGCAGTGGGCTGAGCCCTTAGAGCAAACCTGGTGCAAACTCGCAACCGAACCACTAGATGTCGCTAAAAATCACACATTGCTCCTTTAAGGCAACCAGGTTACTTATTTTTTTTAAGTTAAAGTTCATTGAAATGGAAAACTTGAGTTAGTACAATGAGGGAGATTGATTTAATCATCAGAAACTCAAAATATTATGTTATCTGAACTACATAAATGATCTAAGTTGATTTGACAAATGAAAAAATGTTGCGATTTACAAATCATGAAAATATTTTTTTTACAGTGTAGACTAAAGCTTCACATGTAACTCGTCCTGGGGCGACATTTCATTCAGTAACAAAAACAATAGGCTGTTTTAATTGATATACTGTTAAATGTTGATGATCGCGATACTTATACGCATGTGATTACATAAATTGTTCATTTCTGTATGAACCAGGAGATTCAGTAATTGATTAGAAGAGGCCTAATAGCGCCCCCTACATTATAACAGTGAAAACATGGAAATCCAGAATATTCCGTCAATGCCTGGGTAGCGTTTTCTCACGAATGATGGAATTTTCCGTCAATGGTGGGGAAAGAGTTAAATGAAACTATTTAAAAGCTCAAATAACACAAAGTATCTACAGTACTGTTCAAAAGTTTGATGCCGGTAAGATTTTTTTTTTTCATGCTAGCCAAGGCTGTATATATTTGATCAAAATTAATTTATTCTTTAAAATTATTCTTGTGGACACCATAATACATTTTTTCAGGATTCTCTGGTGAATAGAAAGAATAAAAAGAATATTAGAAATGTCTTCAGTCACTATTAACCAATCGCTGTCAAGACCTTGCTGATTAAAAGTATCAAATACTTCTCAATGATTGTGTAAATCATCAACCTCAGAGCTCATGGAGTCAGATCTGAAGGTTGCGGGTTCGATTCTCAAAAACGGCAGGAAAATGTTGGTGGGAGGGTGAATGAACAGCGCTTTACTCCAACCGCAATACCCACGACTGCAAAACCCCAATCACTCCCCGGGAGCCGCAGCAAATGGCCTCCCACTCCTCCAGGTGTGTGTGTGTGTGTGTGTCAGTTCGCTGTGTGTTTGTGTTGACTAAGCTTGTGTGAGTAGTCAAGCTCCTAATGTGTGTGCATTAACTTGGATGGGTTAAATGCAGAGGACAAAATCCAAGTATGGGTTATCATTTTTGGCCTTCATAAGATATTTCTTTAGGAGAAATTAACTGGAATTTTTATTAACCCGCTACCTACTTCTGTGTGTTTCAAATGCAGTACGTACCCACAGTCACTCTGTTTTGGGTCAGTATTTCATGCATTCTTTGTACTTCGTATGCTAGATGTTCATTGCCAAATGTGAAGTAAGCCATGTCTCGATCAGCCACTGCAGCAGCCATCAACTGGATGAGAGCTTTTGAAGACAAACACATTCTGTTCAGTGCATTTATCATCATAGCCATCAATAATGTTTGCAATTTCACCAGATCAAACGTGTGTGTGTGTGTGTTTTCATTTACCTTTGAGCTTAGGATCCCCTTTGAAGGCTCCACAGCCCCAGTTGCCCGTCGCGATGGCTGTTTTCGGACTCCCTTGGAATCCCACAAATGCCTTTGGGAGTCACACAGTCTGAATAACCTTATAACAAATTCTTATGATAACAAACAGCGATTATTTTAATGTCTAAAAACTAGTGCTGTCAAACGATTCAAATATTTAATCACAATTAATCGCATTAATGTCATAGTTGACTCGTGCTTGATCACAATTAATCGCACATTTTTATCTATTCTTAAGGTCTCTTGATTTCTTTTTGTCCCATAATTTTTTTTCTCATTTTAATGTTCTTATCAACATGGCAAAGTTGATCGGCTTGCTTTGTGTAAATGTTTTTTTATTGAAAACAACACTGGCATATACTGTGTTCAAATTCACACTAGTGTGTGTGCTTGACCATCGTCATCAAGCGGGATTTAGCTAGCTCAGTTCACAACGACAAAACACACAGATCACTTTGCTCATTCAGAATCTTACTGGCATCCATTTCGGCGTCTCGCGCTCGTCAGCCACTCAAAACGTAACGATAACCAACTATTTGGCCGGTTCGCAAGCCCAAACGAGAGTGTGCGGCGTGCCTGTTGTTTTGTTTCCGGTCTAGCTAGATCTGCTTGCGCTTTGGTCGGCGAATCAACAAAATGTCCTCACGCGGCACAAGCCATTGAAATGAATGGGTTTCATAGCCAAAACCAAAAGCATGTGAAAAAACTACAAAGTTTGCTAGGCAAAAAAGACTGTTAATCGCACAATAAAAAATTGACGCTGTTAAAATGGGTTTGCGTTAACGCCGTTAATAACTCGTTTAACTGACAGCCCTAGTAAAAACTAGTACCTTGTTGAGTTCTCGTTTTATATTCTCTTTAGTGTACTGCTCCCTCGGGTTCTTGAAGTCCAGAGCATCAATGGCAACAATCTGCCGATAACGTCTCTTCCACGCGTCCCTATGAATAAATGTGCCACAATTTACACTCATATCTGTAAAACCAATGTTTTTAAAAAAATTCAACACTTTTGAAGTAGTACCTACCGCCTTACTTGATCGATGTATGGACCAACCCAAGAAAACCCTTTGCTATAGCCATCAGTACTGTTGTATATCTGAGGCCCTGGTGAGACATTAGAAATTAGACTACGATGAAGAAAATATCACAAAACAACCAGTCAACAACAAATCTGATAATTTTATCCAAAGCGACTTGCACTGCACTTAAGGTATACACTTCTGGATGAACTATCCCTATACCTGACGGAAAGCTGGTATGTCTTTTAAGATAACGTTGTCTTTGCTTATTCCTCCAGCAGTACCTGTGATTTTAAGACACTCATTGTCTGCTAGTTTCTCAGTGAAGAGTCTGGCCACGATGAGCTCTGGACTCATGAGGAAGAGGATCTCCTCCTGAACCAGTCCTGACTTCAGCACTCCACCACCAATATATTTGCTCGCAAAGTCCACCTGTTCAGAACAACACGATGGAGGTGAATCTTATCTGGAGAACGGGTACAAAACTAATGTTGAGATGAAGCTGACCTGTAGCATGCCTAAACCATCTTCCTCAATGGATCCTTTTGAAGCGATGTGAAGGTTCTTCAGGGGTTCCTTCCGACTAAATCAAACACAATCTGTAATAGATGCGCAGCAACTCACTTTAGTCTATTAATTGTGTGAACCAGTTCAACTTACTTATTCCAGTTGGGGAGCTGGGATGGTGGAATGGAAATCCTTTCAAAAGTAACCAGTCCATCTGGTTTTGATGCTGAAAGAAATTGGTTACATTCAATCCAAAATAAAATCCTTGCTCATCATACTTGCATGCATTTAAATGTTTGGGTTCTGTATGTTTTAGTTTTTTAAATATTTATTGAGCAAGGACACATTAAATTGGTCAAAAGTGACAGTAAAGGCATTTATTATGTTACAAAAGATTATATTTCAAATAAATACTGTTCTTTTTGACTTTCTATTCTACGGAAGCGTATTGCATTCACTTGAAGAAAAAATATTTACTAATTATCTATAGTTAATTATCTCAGAATTACAAGATAATTTATGGTAAAAGTTTTTGAATTAATTAGTTAATTATCTCAGAATTACAAGATAATATTTCACAATTTTTTTCCTCTGTTTTTCTGAATTAACGAGTTAATTATCTCAGAATTACAAGATAATTTAACGATTTTTTTTGCTCCGTTTTTCTGAATTAATGAGGTAATTATATCAGAATTACAAGATCATTTTTCACAGAAATGTTTTTTTGCTCTGTTTTTCTGAAATAACGAGTTAATTATCTCAGAATTACAAGGTAATTTTTCATGGAAAAAGTTTTGCTCTGTTTTTCTGAATTAATTAGTTAATTATCTCAGAATTACAAGATAATATTTCACAATTTTTTTCCTCTGTTTTTCTGAATTAACGAGTTAATTATCTCAGAATTACAAGATAATTTAACGATTTTTTTTGCTCCGTTTTTCTGAATTAATGAGGTAATTATCTCAGAATTACAAGATCATTTTTCACAGAAATGTTTTTTTGCTCTGTTTTTCTGAATTAATGAGTTAATTATCTCACAATTACGAGATCATTTTTCATGGAAAAACGTTTTTTTGCTGAATTTTTGAGATAATCAATTCATTAATTCAGAAAAACAGAGCAAAAAAAAAATTTTCCAAGAAAAATGATCTTGTAATTCTTAGATTAGATTTTTTTCTTCAAGTGAATGCAATATGCTTCCGTACTATTCATCAAAGAATCCTAAAAATTATATATATATATATATATATATATATTAAGCTGTGCTACCATTTTCAACATTGATAATCAGAAAATGAACAGCAAATCAGCATATTTGAATGATTTCTAACGGATCATGTGACCTTGTGTCACAGGAATAAATTACATTTTAAAATACATATTATATTACAATAGAAAAGTTACTTTTAAATTGTAATATTTCAAAATATTACTGTTTTTGATTGAATAAGAGCATTCTTAGTGGGCAGAAGAAACTTCTTTCAAAAACATTTATAAATCTGCCTGACCCCAATCTTTTAAACGGAAGTGTACAGTGGTCGTGTGTGAAGCGTATTCGCAGTACCTGAATCTTGCGGACTTTCATTAGTCACGGTGTTGAAGTAATGGAATATGGCTCTCAGTTTCTCTGCCTGTAGGGTTGCTTTTAATGCGTCATGTCGGCTATCAAATAGGCTACAGCAAACAAATAAAATGAATAAATAATTGATACAGCACCATTATAATAGTGTCTAATGCGATCAGTGTAACACCTGCTGAAGTTAATGGTCGGGTAGTTGGCGTATTCTGAACCAGGGCTCGTGTCGTTCCTGTGAGGGAAGGTGCAGAAGAAGGCGTTTGCCAACAGACAGGAGATCTGCTGCTGAGTCATTGTTAAGGCATGGGGCTGTTGCTGTCGCAGTAGAGGAATGGGCTAGAGACAGAGAGTACAGATTTCAAAATACTTTCAACAAACTTGCATTCAAAATATCTTGTATAAGCAATGCAATTAATCTGAATAGCATTATTGTCTCTTGTCTGGTCGTTGCTCGTCAGATTGTTCAGTACGAGTCCGCTGAGACCTTTCAGACTTTAAAGGAGTAGTTCACTTTAAAAAAAACTCTTGCTGATAATTTACTCACCACATTGTCATGCAAGATGTCCATGTCTTTCTTTCTTCAGTCAAAATAAAATTAAGGTTTTTGATGAAAACATTCCAGGATTTTCTCCATATAATGGACTTCAATGGGAACCAAACGGTTAAAGGTTCAAAAGACAGTTTCAGTGCAAACTGTTCAAAGGGATTTAAATGATTCCAGACGATGAATAAGGGTCTTATCAAGCGAAACGATCGCTCATTAAAAAAAAAAATAAAAGTTTAAGTTTTATGAGCTCAAATGCTCGCCTTGCTCTGTTCTGTGATGCGCGTTCGTGACTCTCCTGTTCGTACTCGTTTATCAAAATGAATGAATATTTTTCGTGTGATTTGGTTCATTCAACGAACGAAATGAACGAATTGACTAGGAAAAAGATTTGTTAATTTTTCACTGAAACTGTCTTTTGGACCTTGAACCGTTTGGTTACCAGTAATTGCATTATATGGAGAAAAATCCTGGAATGTTTTCATCAAAAACCTTGATTTCATTTCGACTGAAGAAAGAATGACATGGACATCTTGGATGACATGGGGGTGAATAAATTATCAGCAAACGTTTTTTTAAAAGTAAACTACTTTAAGTCAGATTCTGTGATTTTAGTAATCTCCGAGAAATCAACACAGTTGATTAAACGTTCATGAAATGTAAATGTAATATTGTCATGATTTACAGGGTTAAATTGACCTTTACATTCATTCTTGCATCTTTATTCACGCTACACATTTGAAAGGAACTCAAAAAAAAATAAGTTAGTCCTTGCTGCGAGAAAAAAAAAAAGGAATTTGGGCTCATAATTCAGATTTAACTTTAAAGTTATACTTGTACTAAGGGATAATGCAAGTGTCTGGGGAAAGAAGGAACCTGTAACATACCCGTTTAATGAGCTCAGGTAATTCAAGTGCCAGTTTCGCCATCTTTGGGATCACCATTTGGAGATTATTGTCCATTGCGTGTAAACGCTATAGAGCAATTGCACAAATCTGTCATCAATTTGTATTTTTACACTGTGGTTTAGCTTTCCTCTGATATGCAGAATGTTTCACGTACCTGACCGTAATAATAGAATGCATCAAATGTCCATTTGTCTTTGTTGCTGGAATTGTAAGACATTATTGCGGCCTACAAATAGACAAAAGATAGAAAACGGGTCACATTATAGTGTAAAAGTAATTGTCATTGTTTAGTGTTGCAGTACCTCAATATCCCCAATAGAGGAACTGCCTTTGGTGAGTCTGTGCAAGGCTTGACAAATGGCATCCCATCGAGAGGGTGATGCGCGGGACTTCTGGTTCAGTTGCTATGGGGAATAACGATTACTCGGTATGAATATGAATAACCGACACCATTTCTATTTTGATAAGCTACTTGTTCAGAAATGCTCTTGATATAGAAATGATGATCTTTGGAGAACATTCTATGGTCATACTTACATACATATGTGGTAACTTCACATGGTGGGAATCCCAAACGTGTCTCCCTTCATGGGGGACAATTAGCTTTTCCCTTTGGAAAAGCGTTGTCTGCTCAAACAAGCCGGTAACATGAATTATGAAAAAAGATTAGCATACAAGAGAACTGAAGATGAAATTGCATTGAAATTGAAATTGATTCTTACATCTATCAGTACTGTATGTCCTTTCATGGGAATTTGCGAGTTGAGCTCTGAGCTGAAGTTTTCCATTGTCTTGAGGTTCTTGATGGGAAATGTGGGTCCCAGCACTATCATAGGCTTTGGTCTTGTTCCTGAGCTCGAGGAATCTGACGTGTCCATAGGCTCACTTCGAGAAGGCTGGTTTGAGCCCCTGCTGTTTTCAGATGCAGTATTTGAGGATGTGTTTTGGCCCTTTTTGTCTCTATGCTCATCATATATGGTTTTTTTGGCCCCTTTCTCTGCATTCTCGGCAGATGTCCCCGGTTTTTCTCCTCCCCCTTCACCTTTTTTCTCACTAGTTGTTGGCATTGTTTTATCAGTTTTGCCTCTAGCCTCACAAGATGCCGTTTGGCTTGTGGCCTCTTTTGCTGCGGGATCCCGTGAGCCCTGGGTCCTGGATGCTCCTCTTGATGAATGATCAACAGTGTTTCCACCGTTACTTGTTTGACCGAAGCATTCCTTAACTTGATCGCTGTTGTTGTGCGACATCTAAGCCCAAAACAAAACAAAAACATTAGAATTTAGAAAATAGAAGTACATTATCGTTCTTGCATATGGTTCTAGCAAAGTTTTCAAACGTTAAAATAACTTTGAAAATTCGAATCACCTGCGAACATTCGGAAAGTGAGGTAACCATAACAAACGTTTGAATGTTTTACTTTGACATTAGTATCGGCCATAACCACATTACAGAAATTACACAGTACCAAAAATTACACATTACAAAAAACGTGTACTATTATATATATATATATATAATCAACCAATCACATGGATGGCAGTTGCTTCAATGCATTTAGGGGTGTGGTCCTGGTCAAGACAATTTCCTAAACTCCAAACTGAATGTCAGAATGGGAAAGAAAGGTGATTTAAGCAATTTTGAGCGTGGCATGGTTGTTGGTGTCTGAGTATTTCACAATCTGCTCAGTTACTGGGATTCACGCACAACCATTTCTAGGGTTTACAAAGAATGGTGTGAAAAGGGAAAAACTTCCAGTATGCGGCAGTCCTGTGGGCGAAAATGCCTTGTTGATGCGAGAGGTCAGAGGAGAATGGGCCGACTGATTCAAGCTGATAGAAGAGCAACTTTGACTGAAATAACCACTCGTTACAACCGAGGTATCCAGCAAAGCATTTGAGAAGCCACAACACACACAACCTTGAGGCGGATGGGCTACAACAGCAGAAGACCCCACCGGGTACCACTCATCTCCACTACAAATAGGAAAAAGAGGTGACAATTTGCAAGAGCTCATCAAAATTGGACAAAAGACTGGAAAAATGTTGCCTGGTCTGATAAGTCTCGATTTCTGTTGAGACATTCAGATGGTAGAGTCAGAATTTGGCGTAAACAGAATGAGAACATGGATCCATCATGCCTTGTTCCCACTGTGCAGCTGGTGGTGGTGGTGTAATTGTGTGTGGGATGTTTTCTTGGCACACTTCAGGGCCCTTAGTGCCAATTGGGCATCGTTTAAATGCCACGGCCTACCTGAGCATTTGTTTCTGACCATGCAGGCCCGTCGCCAAGGGGGGGCATTGGGGGGCAGTGCCCCCCCAAACGACTTACTGTGCCCACCTACGCATGAGCTTAACAATAGATGTTACTATGTATATGCTAATAATTATATCGAACAGAGCTCGGTCTTTCTGCATAACTTATCTCACAGGAACGGTAAGCTCTACAACGGTAGGAATGTATAATACATTATCTTCAGAAATGATTTAGAAATTCATTATTCAACGCATTATTACACAGAACGTAACTTGAAATATAATTATTTTCATAAATGACTGTTAAAACATCCCAAAACAGCACCCAAACCTTGCAAAGACCTACCTCATTAATTATTCACATTCAACAGCCAATGGCAAGTCTCCAGCAGCAGACCTTTCAATTTGTTATTTTTGTGTTAGTATTTTTACTTCTTCAAATTACAATATGCAGTTTGTGTTTAAGGATAAATAAATAATACAAACAATGCAATTTATTTAGTTAAGCATACAGTATTGTTTATACGTAATTCCTTTGCGCAGCTGCGCAGTGCATGCGATGCGAGAATCAAATTCTGGTGGTTTTGTACATAGTCGGTTTTGTACGCCTACAGCAAAGCTTATGCTAAGTGGTTTAAAGTTTCGTCGTTGACAAAGACGACTTTTGACCAACAACAACGTGCGTGGAAACGACTCTGGAGCTAATTAGATGGTAGGAACAGACAGTATAAGAAAGGTAAGAATAGAGAATTTGTCTGCTACATTGCTAAATTTGTATTGCAGTATGTTATGCATTGCTTTTATTATTGCTGTATTGTTGGTGGAAACCAGGTGCTTTTGTGACTCATTTTTATGAAGTGTAGAGTCATAAATCAATTTGGTTTTGGCGTAGTTTTACTTAGTTTGGACTTTGGACTAATGATATTACGTTGATTGCGCCTTTTACAAGAAAGCCACTAGATGGCACTGTGTTGTGTATGTGACGAACTATGCAGATTAACCAAAAATATAGGCTACTATAGGCTAGCAAGCTATATGTGGAAATGACGTTGAGATCATACAGTGAAGTATTTTATTTAAATAAAATGAATAAAACAAGACTATTGTGGTCTATTTTAGTTGAAGCCTAATATGGGTTGTTGTTTTGGTCTGTCTCAGATCATTAAAAAAAGTGTGCCCCCCTATGAAAATTAAATGCCCCCCCAATTGGTTTGTTCTGGCGACGGCCCTGTGACCATGTCCCCATCCCCTGATGGCTACTTCCAGCAGGATAACGCACCATGTCACGAAGCTCGAATCATTTGAAATTGGTTTCTTGAACATGACAATGAGTTCACTGTACTAAAATGGCCCCCACTGTAAATACACAACATAAGAATGGCCCCTCTGTAATAATTGTGGCCCCTCTTGTGCCCCCCAGTTGAAAAAATCCTAGAATCGCCCCTGCCCCCACAGTCACCAGATCTCAACCCATTAGAGCATCTTTGGGATGTGGTGGAACGGGAGCTTCGTGCCCTGGATGTGGATGCCACAAATCTCCATCAACTGCAAGATGCTATCCTATAATATGGGCCAACTAACATTTGTAAAGAATGCTTTCAGCACCTTGTTGAATCAATGCGACTTAGAATTAAGGCAGTCCTGTATATGTATATAAAGAGAGAGAGACTTTCCACTTATGAGCAATATTATATTTTATTAGTCTATTAAAATAATTCGCTCTACTTTGATTAGGATTTTCCAAAAATTGTCGTCTTTAATATTTTGGTTATTGCCAATATTAACAAAAAAAAAATTCCGAGAACATAAAATACAGGAATCACATAAAGGCAGCCTACCTTACTACGTAGTAATAGCAGTAACGTTAGCCTACGTAGTGTAAATCGATCTCACTAAACTCCGAGTCCGATAGGATGCTGAAACAGCCTGGCAGACGTTTCGTCTACTTCCTTTAAATTCGTTAGTTATTATATCCACTATGTAGTGCTTCAATATTTTATAGTGTTTTGAGCTCTTTCACTTTCGATTTTGTCAAATGCGTGTCCAGTAAAATGCACTGTTGTTATAGAGACCACAACGTAATTAACTTTAGCGAAGTTTTACGAGACAGGACGTGCAGAAGATGGTAAGTTACATCTACTCACTGTTCGGCGGTGACAGCCCGTGTTGCTGAAGTGTAGTGTGTGTGTTTTCTGTGATCACCCGTGACAACAGAATGAAAGTAAGCCTGCAGGAATGAAACCTTTAGCTGGTGGCACTTCCTGAGAACTGCAGGGCGCGAGCGGTGTCGAGATGTAAAAACACCACAAACATTTATTCATGATATTAATATGTATACAATTCTGTCATAGTGTTTCCTGCTCTAAACCGCTTCATAAAGGAACCCTTTTGAGTAATCTCTCAGCTTTCTTCTTCATTAACCATCAGATGACGCCACACTATGTGGTTTGTGGGCGGCGGCTTGCTTCCTCATGCTCATGCTCACATTAGTGATTTGAACAATTCCCAATCAACTTTTGTGATGATACGCACATGAATGATGCGTTTTGAATGCTTACATTTCTGTAAACATGCCAACCTGATATATTTTCTGATACTCTTACAAAATATAAGAATATTTAATCTTCATTTGTTGTTTACTCAAGTAAAGTTCACGTTATATTTTAAAGTATAGCCTACTTTATATCGTATAATGTACTAGTAGTAACTTGTAAGTGTACTAGTTTAATAGGCCTACTACTTGGGGCTAAATTGACCCTTTTTTAGTGTATAAAGTACACTTTTACGTTTGCTTTAAGTGTACCAGTGGCAAACTTGAGTACAGAACTAGCTAAGCAAAAGAGCAGCACTTGCCTCGAGTACCTTATTGCTTTTATAAAACGGTTACCACTCAATAAAATATTAAAGTAAAAAATATATATATATATATTAGTTCAACTTTCATGAAGTAAAATCACTAAAAGCCTTCCTTCCGCTAATAAATAGTCCCTGACCGTGAACTGCAACAACGCTCCAATGTGTAATATGCATGAAAGCTCAAATTAAAACACCATAGGAACTGCAGTGCTGCACAGTGATGAACAGAACCATTGGTTGAAGCCGTGTTTTTCATGAAGAAAGCACAGCTGTTGACCAATCAGAATCAAGGACTGGAACGAACCGTTTTATAATATACTACAAGTGAACTTAGACCGACCAGGCACATTTTTTAGTTTATGAAAGTACACTTTGAAGTACACTGCAAGTATTAACAATCATATTTAATTTACTATTTATATATTATTTTTGCATTTTAAGTAGGCTATACTATATGTTCCTATTTTAGGTATTACTTTTTATTTTTTTATTTATTTATTATTATTATTATTATTATTATTATTATTGCCAGCCAGTGGAGATAGTGCCAGAATTTTTTTTATAATTTTCACAAAACTTTAAAGGGCCCCCAGAATATGTTCTCCAACACACATCAAAATAAAGAACATAGCCTTGGTCTTTACACACACACACATCTTCATGCATTCTTTTCATCAACACTTGAACATGAGTAAATTATCTTTTTATTGTTGTTGGGTTGTTGTTTTTTTCTTGTTGTTGTTGTTTTTTCGCACAAATAGCACACGTCACAATTATGTCTTTCCTTTCTGGGCCTGAAAGTGATAGATGCGTAGCTGTCTATGGACTGGAGTGACCGAAAGCTCCCAGAGTTCATTAACAAAAGCTTTATTTGTGTTCTGAAAATGAACGAAAGTCTTACCGGTTTGGAATGTTCATTTTTGAGTGCGCTATCCTCTTTAAGTACTTTACTGAAAGTTGGCTCAGGCTCAAACCATAGCTCAAACATGCACTAAACAAGATGACAAGACTGTCAATATACTCAAAATATAAAGAGCAATTATTATACTTATTTCTGACAGGAAACTAAAGTCATATCATCAATCATAGGCCTACATTATGAAAAGATTACTGTCATCAATTTCTTGTGATCACTTTGTCACACCTGCCGGTGACTTGAGAAAATACAGTTGGCGTTCCTCACGTTAACCACAAGATGGCGCCACACTCTAATTATTGTAACTTCATTCATTTACTTATAAAAAACGTAGCCGTTAAATTTGGTCATTCACATTGACATTCAGCTCACTCGACATGAATCTAAATTTGATTTTTAAAATATATTAAAACCCTGCTGTTTCTTGGTTGCTTTAGGGCTGTTTTTAAAGTGATTGAGGGATTTTCATAAAACTGCAGCTTCTAACCACTGCCCATTGTGTCTCAGTCAGGTCTGCATAATGACTGTTGGACAAACCTGTGCTCACTGGTGCCTGAACCCCTCAGCAGGACGCCATGGACAGAGATTCACCTCAGGCAAGAGGAACAACAGCTCGCTTTACATGTGAAAAGCTCTCCCTGTTTGAGTCAGATGGTCGGTCCTTTCCTGAGGGTTTTCTTCTCCTGCACCCTCTGCTGTCTGACCCATCACATGATTGGCCTGCTGTCCTGAGCCGCAATCTCATTATCCCTGGCCCCACAACCTCCAGATAAACACTCACTCACTAAGCCGAGTCTGACCATATCTAATAGATTTATAGTCGTCATGTATCCTAAACAATAATCCATTTGCAAGAACAAATCACAGATATCTCTTTTTGAGAGCTCGTGCATCTTGCATGGCACACTTTCTTCAAGCTTTGCCTAATTAGGAGGGTTGTGGCATGATTGAGACAGACAGAATGTCCTCTTCAATCGCCGGCTCCGCTGCTGATGTGGCTGTTAATGTCTGTCCGAGTTATGGAACTGCATATGATCCAGCAGCTTTACACAACACACGGCGCCTTAGGTGACTTCTCATTTTTAATATGACAACTGTAGTTTGATCGCTGACCTCGTAACAACAAAGAGTGTGTGAGGAGGTTCAACAACAGGTGTAGACTGAGTCTGACTGATTTATTCTGTGTTTTTAGTTAGAAAAGAAACTAAATACTTTAAACATATTTAGATAAAACTATGATTAAACATTTATACACAATGGTTCAAAAGTTTGGGGTCAGTCAGTCAGAAAGATGCATTATATATATATATATATAAATGCGGAAAGTTTTCTGTAATGGGTTTAGTGGTTGGGTTAGTGTGTAAGGGGACAGTTTGTACAGTATAAAATCATTATGTCTATGGAAAGTCAGCATAAAACATGTTTGTGTGTGTATTTTTATTATTTATTTTATATAATAGTCACACAGACATATATACGTATATATTAATGTGGCCACCATGATTTTGACATGTTCCTGGATCAACTTATTTTGTTAATTTAATCCTAACTCTATCACTACCCCTATGTATCCCTACCCATAATCTCTAAAATCAGAAGGAAATGATAGGTGGATAACATGGATGATGTAGAAGCACCTAACCTAACCCTTGTTGTAAGCCTAACTTAAAGGGATTGTTCACTTTGAAATAATTTTTTGGTATGTTTTAGCTTACCTCAAGGGCACCCAACATGGATTTTAGGTCAAACCGTTCTTGTCTCTCAGTCATATAATGGAGGTCTATGGTCACCACCTCAAAGAGCATGCACAGAGAAGTCCAAATTAAACATGATTTAATGATTCGTAAATGTAAGTACACATTGATGGCCTAAGACACGAAACGAGCGGTTTGTGTGAGAAAACGAACAGTATTTATATCGTTTTTACCTCTTGTAACCACAGTCACGTCCAAGTGATCTGAGGGTCCGGGCGCTTTGTGGTTACAAGAGGTAAAAACGATATAAATACTGTTCGTTTTCTCACACAAACCGCTCGTTTCGTGTCTTAGGCCATCAATGTGTACTTACATTTACGAGTCATTAAATCATGTTTAATTTGGACTTCTCTGTGCATGCCCTTTGAGGTGGTGACCATAGACCTCCATTTATGACTGATATGACTGATATTGAAACTACTGCAGAAACAAAGATACCTACATCTTGGATGCCCATGAGGTAAGCTAAAACATACCAAAAATTAATTTCAAAGTGAACTATCCCTTTAACGAAGTTAATCTGATTGGTTGATTGAAATGTTGTTCCAGAATCAACAAATGCTTTGATCCAGGAACATGTTGTACTTGGCGAAATCACGTTAAATAAATGTATACTGTCTAATGTTGTTTTTCTACTAGCCATATTTTCAAGTGACACAATTAGTTTGGGCACTCAACCTCTGACATTACCAACAATATCTATTTTGAGATATTTTGAGGAGTGTTGGTTGTTTGGCACCACTGACTTGCATATGGAAAAATAATACAATGAAAGTCAATGGGGTCCATGAACTGTTTGGATTACCAACATTCTTCAAAATATCTTCATTTGTGTTCAGCAGAACAAAGATATATGTATACAGGTTTGGAACAACCTGAGGGTGAGTAAATTATGACAGAATTGAACTTTTTAGGTGAACTATCCCTAGTTCTATTTCTAAAAATCTATTTCAACTAAGAGCTGATACGCCTAATTATTTTAACTATGCACGATTATACGGGTAGTTTCATTTAATTATTTGCATTTCGCATTTTGGGTTTTTGGTTGTTGTTTTGTTTTGCTTTTTTGTGAGCAATAGAGACGCGCGAGGTTCCAGATGAAGCAGATGAGGTAAAGCTTCTAGTTTTTTGTTGTTGTTTTTTTGGGGAGGGGGGGTTCAGAGAACAAGGCTGGAAAGAACAGCTTTTTCAAACCCGCTCCTGCCCCCTTTTTGCTGCCGACTGTTATTGTCGGTCAGCCACTTCCCAGGAATGTTCCTCTTCAGGCCAGGGAGAAGTCACTGCAATGGAATGCAGCGCGCGCCCCGCTAAACAACAATGTTGACTTAAAAAGGCCAGAAAATGGAATCGATCTGGATGCGCGCGCGCGGGCGCGTCACGCGTAAATCTGGTGCTTTCTATTCTTTGGAGCGAAAATAGAACTTAGGCAAATGAGTGTTTAATTGTCTCGCTTTAAAACACAGCTGCATCCCATTCCCAAGCGCATATTAGAACATTGCGTAAGATGGTACCAGTTCGTGGATTTGCCAACGACGCTGCGTGCGTGCGTGCGAGCGAGCGAGAGGGAGGGGGCGTCTTTTTCAGCAGTCAGATTAACGTTACCATTGTCTGTCCTTGTTGCTCATCCAATAGGAGCACAAAGACGAGACTGGCAGAGTGGCATTCTAGCGCGCAAGCCGTTTGTGCGGCCGTGCCGTGAGATTAGCCGGGGTCAGATTGATGCCGCGCGATTTGACAGCGCTCATAAGGATCAATAACCGAGTGCTGTTTGACCCTCATACAGTGTGCGGAACGAGGGGGGTGGGTTGTTCTAGCCTGTGACATTGTTAAATGACTGCAGTAGATGTGGCGGGCGGGAGGGAGAGGGGGATGCAGCAGGTCGTGGGGGAGGGGAGCCTGTGGGAGGTGGCATTGACATCGATAGCGAGGAGAAAGATGAAAAAAAGGCAAAAGAATCTCAGCACCTGTTTCCAGGGCAACAGGGAGCTGCTGAGCATAAGTCTGACTTATCCCCCCCTCACCGGCCGCATGCAGTGATCATGCAGCCCTCTTCAAACTGACACACAAACTAATAAAGACTCGGATTCTTTTCACTAGGTTTTTGAGCTTTGACCAATAGAAATGTTACAGAAACCTCCATAAATGGAGTAGTTCAGCTAAAAATCAAAAGTCGTCCATTATTTACACTGTCTGTTATCATTTCGAAGCAACAAAGCAGACAACTTTCTTCCATTTACACAGTGACCATGTCTGTCAGTTTTGAGAAGCCATTTGCCAAAAAAAGCCAACAAAATTCCCAACATTTAAAGGGATAGTTCACCCAAAAATTAATTACTCACCCCCATGCTGTACCGACCCTGTAAGACCTTCGTTTGTCTTCGGAACACAAATGAAGATATTTTTGATTAAATTTGAGAGGTGGATCACTGCTACATAGGCTGCCTAAGGGATTGAAACTTGACGGCCCAGAAAGTCATTGAAGAAAATGTTTAAATATTCCATGTGACTACAGTGGCTCAACTATAAGTTTATCAAGCGACAAGTTTTGTGTGAAAAAAACAACAAAAATAACGACTTAATTTGACTATTCCTTTTCTTCCTTGTAAGCCTGAGACGAGAGTTCAAAAGATTTCCACGACGCATGCGTGAGAACTATGTTATTTTTCTACTACTTCTTGCGCAATACTCGCACATGCATCGTGGAAATCTCTTGAACTCTCGTCTCAGGCTCAGAAGGAAGAAAAGGAACAGTCGAATAAAGTCATTATGTTTTTTTTTTTTTACGCACATAAAGTATTTGCGTCGCTTGGTAAACTTATAGTTGAGCCACTGTAAACACATGAAATATTTAAACATTTTCTTCAATGACTTTCTGGGTCGTCAAGTTTCAATCCCTTATGGAGCCTATGTAGCAGTGATCCACCTCTCAAATTTAATCAAAAATATCTTCATTTGTTTTCAGAAGACGAACGAAGGTCTTACGGGGTCGATATAGCATGGGGGTGAGTAATTAATGACTTAATTTTCATTTTTGGGTGAACTATCCCTTTAATTCGCCATGATGTACGGATTCAACGAAGGTTTTGATTTCAATCTTAAAAATAAAGGTTATTTATTAGGTCCATGAAGAATTGAGTTTTTCCATTGCTCTAAAAAAATGACAGAATTGTTATAACTGCACTCTAAAAATTGGGTTGTTTTAACCCAAATTTGGGTCAAATATGAATCAAAACAAGCGTTGGGTTAAAATTGCATTTAAAAATGTAACCCAACGGCTAGGTTTGTCTATATTTGACCCAAATTTGGGTTAAAAGACCCTGCCTTTTAGAGTGAATGAATGCTTTCAAACTTTTAAAGTTCCCCTATTGTGCTATTTAAAAGGGTTTAAAAATGGTTCTTCAAAGATTCAGTCTCTCTTAACTCCTCCCTTCTGAGAGCTACTCTGCTCTGATTGGTCAGATGCCCAGTCTGTTGTGATTGGGTATCGCTTATAGAGTGCCGAAGTTACGACGTCACTCTGTAGGCCAAAACGCGGAAGTGAGTTAGCATTTTAGCACTCCCGGTTCCCTCGCTCTAAAGCCTATGGGATTTTTGAATGGGTTTTTGCTAAATCGCCTGAAATAAGGTCTGTGGTGAACAAAGCTAAATATTTTCACGTTTTGATCTATGACATAGAACACACAGTTATAACCTGCCTGTGTTGTTTAAACTTTATTGTGTCTGCTTGTGTTTTTAAAAAAACTTTATATAGGCTTCAAAATGTATAAATTTTGGATTAACTTATGAAGATTATCTGGATAGGTCACAACTCTTTGTTGAACACAGATCTTATTTTTCGCGATTTTCTAAAAGTCTATGGGGAAAATGCATAGCTTTTCGATCGAGAAAACCCATGCGCCATAAGTGACGTCATAACTTCGGCACTCTATAGTGCGTGTTGGAAACTGAACTTCACCTCCAGATCTTCCTCAGCCTTTGATACACAGACAGGGATACAAACAGTAATAGACTCATTTTACGTCGTCAATTTTTGGAAGTGCATCAAAGTGGATCAAAACATGTCGACAACACAAACCAAACTCCTCCAGTCTCCGCTAGTAGTGTTTGAGGGCGGGGCAAAGTAGAAGTTGTTTGTGGGCAGCCAATGAAGAGCATATGTAGGCATTATGCAAATTTTATGTAACAGAAAGTGAGACTGGAATTTCTGACGACTCATTTCGGCAATTCACAATCGATTCTTTCTTTTAGGAGACGATAACTTTATTTGTCGTGCACTTTGATCTTTACAACTTTGCAAGCCTTTTACATTCACAAACCGCAAGAAAGGTAATAATCGAAAAAGCATACACTGTAAAAAAAAATTGGTCAAATCAACTTAAATAATTTATTTAGTTCAGATCATTTTAAGTTTCTGATGATTAAATCAATCTCCTTCATTGTATTAACTCATTTTTTTCCATTTCAATGAACTTAAATTTTTAAGGCAGCCAGGTTACTTCATTTTTAAAAATTAAACCAACAATATTTTTTTACAGCGTAATACAAAAGTGACCCACTTTAATGAAGGTGCAATCTAGAGTTGCACATCAAATAATGTGTTTTTCACGGTGTCTCCTCTCCTCATTACCTGCTCATCTGACTGTCTTTGTCCTTTCTACCTCTGACAAAGAATATTCTGTACTGTTTCCCTACAGCTCTTCGTCTGGCCCCAAACCTCCAGACTAACGTTCAGTCATGCTCATCGAGACTGCAGATCTATTGTTCTTTCCTCAGCAGCTCCAGTCGCTCTCACTCTCCCCCGCCTTCCCTCCATTCTCTCTGCTGGATAATTCCCATGATATGTTCTTGCCATTGGCGTGGGGCGTACCATTCTCAGCGAGGGGTGAGTACAAACCAAACCGGAGCACTTCATGCACCCACACTGATTTATAAATACATTTGCATACTTAAATTCATGCAAAACTCCCATTTACAGAGACGTTGGTGAAGCATGGCACTAGTATTAAGACAGTTTGACAAATGTAGCACGCAAAACGCAACTCCCACCCCTCTGTTGCACAAACATAGCACGACCCCATCCCCTCGCGGCGTAGTAAAGTGCCTGTTTTATTGACTCAATGTCTTAAGGGCAGTTCTCTTCCCGTTTTTCTCGCAGTACACTGCGAGATCTTAACAGGACAGGAATGAGAGAGGAATAACAATTATGTCACTGCATGAAAGCAAGAGGTTGATAAACTAACAAAATGGACGACGTGAGCGCTGCCTCTTTCTGTGATAGCAAAATAGCATCAGAACCAACCGTAAACGTATAAATGTGGATGGCGAGGGAAAGCAGATGAAAGATCAGGTTGATGAACACCGTCTGTCACCGTCACCTCATGCCCATAAGCTGAATTCAAACCTTAACATGACACCATCTCTGCCAAACACAGCAGCGCTGCTGACTGCTGCCAGATTGCAATACATCTGTCTCACAGTTAAACATTTCTGCTGGACTTGATGCGCTCAGTCCTTTTCCAATTCACATTCCTGCTCTTATTGTGAATGATTCATCATGTATGTTATTCCAATGAAAATAACGTAATGAAATGAAGCGTTGAGTGTGCGATCTCTCACCGGGGAGAGTGCAGTTCACCATCTACGCATATTCGAGGGGTTGGGAATTCGAGTTTGCCCTTCTCTGACCTCTCTATTGTGAGTTGTGCAGCAGTCTGAACCAATCCTTTCACTGCCCGCTGCTTTTTAGAGGACAGCGGACACCACCGCTCTTCTAATTCATGATTTAAAGACACTTTGGCTACCTGCCCATGTGAAAAACATGTCCCTGAACACTTTGGGCCTCATTCATGAAACGGCGGGGGAAGGAATTTCTGTGTTGACTTGTTTATACATCTAATCTAACAAGTTAAAATGCAATTTTTTCTTGCATAGATATTTGTTCTGATTGTGTTTCGTGAATGAAGCCAACTTTGATTGTGCTAATAAATTAATCAATCTAATCTTTTCAGATGCATATATGAACATGTATGTCCAAAGACTGTAAGATGATATTTGGGTGTAAGCTGTAATGAGATACCATTGTTGTGTTAATGTAAAAATTAATAATTAAAAAAAACATAAACATTTTGACCCAGTAAAACATTTCCATCTCTCGGTCAAATAAATAAGTAAAATAATTAATCAATGTATAATTAGGAAAAATATTTTGGTAATGTTTTGGTAACATAACTAGCTGCATTTTGATATATAAACTTCTGTTTAAAAGTTTTGTTATGTTTTTGAATGAAGGTCTCTTCTGCTCACCAAGGCTGAATTTATTTAATTAAAAATACAGTAAAAATAGTAATATTGTGAAATATTATTACAATTTAAAATGGCTATTTTCTATTTGAATATATTTTTTAAATGTAATTTATTTCTGTTATGCAAAGCTGAATTTTCAGCAACTTTACTCCAGTCTTTGGTGTCACATGATCCTTCAGAAATCGTTCTAGAAAAAATATTATTATTAATATTCAAAACAGTTGTGCTCCTTCATATTTTTGTGAAAACCATGATAGATTTTTTTTTCAGGATTTTTTTGATGTAAAGAAAGCGGCTTTAATTTGAAACTGAAATCGTTTGTAGCATTATAAATTTCTTTACTGTGACTTTTGATCAATTTAATGCATCCTTGCTGAATAAAAGTTTTATTTTTATTTTAAACAGTAGTGAAAATTACAGAAGGATCTAATTACTAATTATACAAACTGAGTAACTTCTGAATAATAGGAGTAAAATCACCAGGTGTAAAACTGCAGTGCTTGTCAGTAAAATAATAGCATTAACGTGGGCGGCCTGCCAATTGTTCCCTGACTGAACATGTATGAAGCAGCAACTGTGCACCATTTTGGCTCAAGCATCCTCCCTAAAAATGTATTTTATTAACATAACAATATGGTCACGTAGAGCCACAATGGTGGCTAAAATTACTACTACTTGAAAATAAAAACTACATAAAAAATTAATGAAGATAAAAATAAACGTGTCTTAGAAAAAAAACATTACTGGTTTTTATCTTGAGATAAAACAATAGGACTGGACTTATTTTAAGATATATCAGTGCAAGTTGATTTTTGCTTTCAGTTAAAACACCTCAAACATGCATTGTAGTCTGAGAATAGGTTTAAGCCTTGTCTGTGAAACCGTGTTAAAATGTTAATAAATGCGAAATAGGTTATAGAAATAAAATAACACTTCAGTTTTATACAAGAGATATACTTATAAAATTATGTATTATAATAGCTTTACAACTTTCAATTAGCCTCTTTAATGCATGTGATGTGTTTTTCTAACATACAGGTAATGTTACAATGAAGGGCACTTTATATTAACCATCGAGCGCAGCACAATCGTCACCCTCCCCACCCTCCCAGCCTCGTTGGCTCGATTCCTCGACGCTCTATTAATCGAGTCTCGCAATCGAAGGAAAGTCAGTCAGCTGGGGAGGGCGATGAGGGGGTGAGTGACAAAAAAAGAGAGAGAGAGAGAAAGAAAGAAAGAGAGAACGAACGAACGACCGAAAGAAAGAAAGCAAGCAAGAAAGAGAAAAACTGCCTCTCTTTCTTCCGACAGAGCACCTCCATCCCCATGATCTCATGAATAAATTATAGCGACTCATTGTGCAATAGAGGGAGGAATGCAGTCGAGCAGACTCGCGCGCACATACACACGCACGCGCACGCGCACGCAGGAGCAGCAGCAGCAGCAGCAGAAGCAACACGAGAGCCGTCGCGACTCTTTGGATTTACACAAAAACATTTCATTAAAACAAACACATGCTGGGAGTCTGAAAGCTTAGGGTGTTTTATTTCGCAACCTATGGATCATATAAATAGAAATCCGCAGAGAACGGATACATTCACAGATAATATGATCCAGTTTTAACGGTTTTAACGTACTCGCACGGCTTCCGATTTCTGAGGAAACCTTAGCTATCCAAGAAAGGACAAAAACGCCTACGTTTTTATCAATTTTAACCCAGCGAGGATCGCACTAGATCCTGATCTCTATTTTTGTGAACATTAAGAGGGGATTTCTCACAAGGAAAGCCGAACACGGAATCAAATCCAGCCAACAGATCAACCTCGGGCAGCCGGAGTGGAAGGTGAGGACGGATCATTGTAGCTAGCCTTTCAGTATGATCTCTTTCATCTTATTATCTCTTTGCTTTGTGATTTTGACCATTTTTGTATATGCTGATGTATATAGTGGGATTTAAATGTGATCCAAAGCTCAAAGGTGTTCGCTTTCAATCATGCTTGGTGATTTGAATGGCCCTGTGCAGTCGTTTCCTGCTTTTCTTTACTTCTTTATTCCAGCTGTCAATTCGATAATCATCTGCCATAAATATCTGTTGCCCTCCAATGATTAAATAGAGTAAGGATGGACCCATGCACATGAGCTTACAGTAGAAATGCCTTCTGCTGGACTAGAGCATGAATTATTAGGTAATCAGTCAGGGTTAGATGTTTTGAATCTTTATTTAAATGGCATTAAACGTGTCTTAAAATAAAGAAATAACACTATAAAATGCACCCACCCAGGGTTGTAATATCATTACTTAGGTCTGGTGCATGATTTTACTCTCATGCAATGTGGTTATTGTCTGAAATATGTGTGAAATAAGGAGCTAGACAGTGAATCTCAGTTTGAGTTGATGCATTCTCAGTTTTTCTCAATGCAAACGTGGGCAACATGCTCTTAAATGTGTCCAGCTCTGATCTGATGAGTGAATGAGTGGCATGATATAGCACAGCTTTTATTAGATCAATCAGGATGCTGTTAAGTGAATTTCACAGCTAAATGCATTTGAGACACTAGTGTTGCCTGTCACAGTGATCACTTCATTGTGGCTCTTTGGTTCAACGTGTTTGATATGACTATAAAGTCATTAGAGACCACAGGATCTGCTCCAAGAGGTGTTTTTACACGTTAGTTCCAGTGTGTGTGTGTGAAAGATGCAATGTCTAATGCTTGTTTTCCTTGTTTGAATTGTCTTTTTCGGGATCTAAGCTGAAACTGAGTTGCTCCACATACACAGGGCAGCATGAGAGGGGGGTTTTGCCTGTCGCATCACAATACCTTTTGCATTAGCATCATGATAGAGCGCTCCACCCAGATGCTTTACATACTGGCAGCACACCTACAGGCAGGTCGGTGTAGCGGGAGGCGTTTTAGGCCGGTAAAGACACAGCAGGTGAGATGGACAGATGGTGAAGGTGGTGCACAGAACCTCAGCGCTGCTACATACTCTGTGCAGGTCACAGACCAGGTAGGCGACAAATGCTGCGTTGCCCATCCCCAGGGGTCAAATGATGGCCACAGACATCCCTCCGCTGATTTTTCTTTTTTTTTTAAGCCCCAATTTGCATGCGTTGTCTCATTCTAAAACACCATCGGTGATAGATCACTCAATTATGATAAGGACCCAAGCCATCTGCTATTCTGGACAAACAGCATAGGGACTTTGACGTTCTTCTGGTTTTTAAAGGAAATAATGACATCATTACTTATCGTCATGAATATTTAACTCCGAAGGTTGCATTGTCTTTATGTGTGCACTATGTGTTGAGGAAATGTTTACTAAAAGCACTTCTGGTCGTGAGGATTTGGTCAATAATTGATGGCAGGTCGGCCTCGGCAGTGTCAAGTAAAGCTTCGGTCCTGAAGATGAGTGTCATGGCTTTGTGTTGGCTCTCTCTGGGGATACAGGCCTAAGTCTAATGGTATTAAATGCGCTCTGAGTTTGTTTGCGCTTCTGTGGTATTATCAGGTAATATTTGCGTTCAAGAGTGTACAGAGTTTGCTGCGTAAAAGCTCAAAGGTTCAACGTTTGAGTGT